GAGGACAGTGAACACTGCAAAATGGTCTCCTTCCAAAATAAAGGTCTTCATGGCAGCCATGGCACCAACATACTTAATTCTTTCTACCTGAAGACTAACAGTTTCATGAAAGTATAACTGACCATCAGCATATACTGTAGTCAATTTTTGCCTTCAACAGGCCAATTTTTAAAGAGATAGCTGCCAATCACTCTCTTTCCCCACATTCTCCCCTCTCCCTTAATCCTCACAGGATTTCACACCTTGAGGAGAATCTTTTCCCTCCATTTCTTCCACATGTTTTTACTTCTTAAATGTCATTCAACTCTTTCTAGCTTCTGAGACACAAAATGATACAAAGATACTCATGAGCTAGATTTTGAGGGAAAAAAAAAAAATCAACAAACAGCAGCAGTTCAAGAATTCTGAACTGCACATCACATTTACCAATTGAAGCTGAAGACACTTCTAGCCCTTATGGAAAAATAATGGGTAGCAGGTAGTTCTGGTAGATTACCCAGGCATCTATTACTGTAATGTTTATCAAGTGGGCAATATTAGTTGAGTATTTTCTTTTAATAGCATGTGGAATCATACAGACACCAAAAGGTTACGAATGAAGGGGAAAACGGTAAAGTATATCTCTGATAAATAGACCAGTTTGGAAGACAAAAATAAAATAAGTGGATAATCAAAGTAACTGTATAAAAACTGAAAAAATACTCTGGCACTGTAGAAACTAAAGCAGGGCAGAAATTCACTAGACTGGTTCCTTTTGTATTTCTAGTAAAATATCACACAACATTAATTCTCTCTACATAAAGACAAATGAAAACAGGCTAGCAATGCATCATAAACAGAATACATTTAACATCCTAATGAACAATGAAACTTTTAGGAAAACTTACAGTGGTATTTTGCCTCAGAGAAGCATTTACATGCTAATATTTTGGAATAGGCTATTTTTTTCAGGGTAAAAAGAATATGTATCTTGGGAAGAGAGGATTCCTTTTCTTTTATTGTGTGTGTTGGGAGGGGGTCCATGCTCCAACTTTTCCCTAGGAAAAACAAATTTTTATGCCTTTAACTACAAAACTTCTTGAATAGCAATAGTAATAGCAATAGTAATAATAGCAATAGTTACTATTGCTATATAGTAATAGCAATAGCAATAGTAATAATTATGCCCAGGGTTGTGATTTATACCTGTCTCTGAAATAAGTGTCATTAACACCTTCTTAAAAGGGCTGAGATAGCTCAGCAAACTAAGCACCTGCTTAGGCAAGCACAGGGACCAAGGTTCAATCCCTGGCACCACATGCTATGCCAGCCCTGCCCCCTGGGTACACTGAGTCAGGCAAGGAGGCTGGGCATGGTGGTGCACACCTGTAATCCCAGCGTGGGGAGTCCAAAATGTATAGTGAGACCCTGTACCTAATACATTAAAAAAAAAAAAAAAAAAACTTGATGCACACAAGCCATGCAAGCTTCAAGGGATATCTGACAATATTCTATCTAAAATTCCAATCCTTTAGAAGTAACAACACTAATCATTTTTGAATGATTGTCATTAATCCAAAGGAATTAATTCTTAGAGTTTTAAGGCATTTAATATAACACAACAATCAAAAACTTGCTCAAAATTATGTCATCTAGAATCCCAGTCTAAGGATTTAATCCTTTATCTTCCAAGTGGTTCATCTTAAGTGTTTGATTTCCTTGTATTAATTTGTGTCATAAAACAGTTCTGTGGCCATCAGGTCTTTATGCTTTATAATATGGCATTACATTATACATAAGAGACTAAAACCTATTATTCACTTATTAGTACTCAACATATCCTGCCTGTAAAAGCTTTTAAAAATACTGATCAAAAAAATGAAACTCAAAATAAGGTGAGGGGGGACTTCTGCTGACTCATTCCTCATTCAGAAACAGTATTTCCTGGGCCTGTGAGCTGAATTTCAACTTTTAGTGCTATAATATCCATTCACAGATTCTGTAATAGGCTGAGGCAATAGAAGAGGAAGAGGTCAAAAATACTATGAAAGACAGTATGTTCTTAAAGGTACTATAATGAGATCTGCAGAAGAGTTATTATCTGTGCCCTTTCGCTTTATTTCCAGAATATATTATAGTAATGTTATTTCCCTATGAACTTCAGTATATTCATCTAGGGACTTTCACCAACAGGGCAAATAGCAACCCAGAATTTCAGACTACTTATCAGTAAGAAGTGAAAAAGGTCTTCACTGAAATCAAGGCACTAGGTAAAGAAAGAAGAAAGCAAAGTTCAATTTCATCCATCTGTTGGCTTCTCTAAATCATGACATGAGTGACCAATAAAAAGATGGAAATTCAAGAAGGCACCATAATAAATAAACACATATATTCATATACATATTTGTGCATGTGTCGTACTTGTTGCTGCTATTCTACTAAACAATTTGAACATGAACCTTCATCTAAAGCAAGCCCTATAAAATAAGCACTATTTTCCACAGATCACAAAGCTAGAATATGTCAGTTTTTCTCTCCAAAACCTATGCTCCTATTTGCTTTCAAGTATTCTCTTATAAAAGCAGAGTAGACAACACCTTTTTTCACTAACTATAGTACTTTTGAATGAAGTTCACAGAGATTTCTTTTTTGAAGATTTTTAAGGGCTGGGAATATAGCTCAGCAGCATAAGCATCTGCATGGCAAGTGCAAGGTCCCAAGTTCAATCAATACCCAGTACCAAAAAAAAAAAAAAAAAAAAAAAAATCAAGAATTTTAATGCTATTTAGATATACAAAAGAAAATATAAATAGACTATATTCTTCCAAAATATAAAAAAGGAGGAAGTCTATACTAAATGAATTAATACTATTTCTCCTTAAATTTAACTTCTTTTCATAAAAATTTAAAAGCTCTAAGTACCAACAGTAAAATTTCCTTCATATCTAGTGACAAGATTCTAATTCATTTATACCTATCACCTCCCAGGAGTTCATATGCTTTGAATAAATGAGAAGACAGACTCCATTTTGCCTCTATTTTCATATGAAAGTGTGAGCTCCGTGATCTTCTGCCTTAGTGCCAAATTCCTGCCTTCATACATGTCTGGTATACATGGGAGTTGAGAAGTGTTATGGTTTGTGTCTAGTTGTTCCCCTAAAGCCTCGTGTGGTCATGGGGCGGACTTCTAGAGTCTGTGATTAACTCATGATCCACTGGGATTATGGGTGTAAATTCTGCTGGGATTATGGGTGTGAGTACTACACCCAGCATGGTGCATACAGCCTGAATGCAACTTAGGGGAAACAGACCTCCTCTCTGTAGCCATTGTTGCTGCTACTCCTCCCCTTGCTCTCTGCTTTTTGCTCCTGCCATGAAAGGTTGCTCTGTGCTATGTGCCGCTCTTAGAGCCAACTGTGTATGGGCAGAAACCTCCATGAGCTAAATAAACCTTTCCTTCCTTCATTTTGAGTGTCAGGTATTTGTCCCAGAAACAAGATAAGAGTTAGTGAGACAGGAGGCAACAATAGAGAAGCATGGATTGAGGAAGTGTATGGGGATAGAGGCCCCTTCATAATGAATCTTTTATTTTCCAGGAAGTGTCCAAATTCAAATACTGCCAAATGACACTGGTCTATTATGCCCTCAAATCTGTTTTAATAAACATGATCTCCTAGTATATTATAGTCACAAAGTTTGGATCAGAATATGAATTCAACATTGTCCTTATAAAACAAAAATTATAACATGCAAGTCTTATTTGTTGTTTTAAGTCAATACAGAAATTCTGAGATGGGTCTGTCTACAAACAACATCATCACAAGCTATGAAAAGAGCATGAGACAGAAGAAAGATACTTTAGAATGATGGACCTGAACTCAACTCTTAAGACCAACCTCCTTTACAGGATCTCAGGATAAATCCTGAGGGGTTTCACTGACCTTCTCAGACCAAAAAGCTACAATTCTTGTTGCACGGGTCCTGCTTTACCTAGGTCTTAACCATCCAGTAGAAAAGTATGAAGACGAAATATAGGAAGGAAAGCCATGTTGTTCTGTTGAGCTGTGGGGAACTCAGGTCAATAATTTCTGACACTGCCAGTTAAACAGAAGACCCAATGCTATTATGGGCTACTGGGCTCTTTTACAATATTTTGCTGAGTTTACACACCTATAATATTCAATAACGGAACTTAGAAAAAATGGGGTATACCGATGAATGTCCATTTTGTATCTGTGTATTCAAAGTGGTTAGGATACATATATAGTTGCATTCTCTTAATGAATAGAATGATTTGTTCTAATGGTGTTTGTAAATAGGATCTCAAGTCCGCATCTTGTACAGCAATTAACCACTAAGAAGAATATATGCAGTGTATTATTTGTGGAAACTGTACTTCCGATTTGATTTGAAACTGTCTCATTGCTATCTGTTTATCAATAAAATTTTGGAAAAAAAAAAGACCAACTTCCTTTTCTATAAACCTCAACTATTTACTCTATAAGCCTAAGCTCACGTAATATAAAATATGGATACTAGTAACTAGCTCAGAATTGTAGTGAGAATTAAATGATATCATATATACATGGAGCCTTACTTAGTTTCTATTTCATGTTCAATAACTGTTATATTTAACTTACTTGTCCACTTAATGTATTTGAATGTATTTTTACAGACATGTCTGTATCTTTTATTCAACATACATGACTATGAACAATTAGCTTTTAAATTTTTTAGCAAAATCAATAAGATAACTGAATTATGTTTAGTACAGCTGTTTTTACTTCTCTGAATTTGTCTGAGCTATAATACACTAAGTTCAAGAAAATAACATCAAGAAAAGATAAACTACTTATACTTTGCTCTAGAAAATAGTCACAAAGAGGCTGGAGAGATAGCTCAGTAGAATAAGTGCTTGCCTGACAAGCACAAGGGCCTGAGTTCAATCCCCAGTTCTGCAAAAAAAAAAAAAAAAAAAAAAGAACATAGTTACCAAAAACACAAACCTTCTCCCCACCTACCTTGGTTGGTTCTCCACAGTGAGGTTCTCTACTCGCTGATAGCCACTGTCTGCCACCTGTGTGGTGGACCTCTTCACAATCTGCTTTAGCTCCTGCTCCAAGCGCTCTTTGACTGCCTTAACTGTCTCTGGGATCTTCTTCAATTTAGCCAGACCCTTGATAAGGATGCCCATAAAAAGGGTGCTGTTGTCCTCTGGGTCCAATTCCAAGTCCTCCTTGATGTCCTGCAAGTTTACGTCCCTCACTGCAAAATAAATAATAAAATACAGTCTACTACAAAATCAGAAGTAAAAGTCTAATAAATGATAACACCACTTTGATTACACACTTAAAGGATTTAGTTTTTTTAACTAAATTAATTTGCATAGTAACTATACAAGAGTCACAAAATAATATTTATATTCCTGAAATCATATCCATTAGTAAGAAGAAATTAAAACTCAGTATGCATATCTCCACGGGAAATATCAGACAGACCACTTCTGACATGAACTCACTGATATTTATTAATCATTGATCATATGTAAAACACCATGCCTGGTACTGCAAGACAATTCTAAAGAACCAGACCTTGGCCTCAAGTTCCTATTCATTAATTAGAAGTCATAAGCAGCTGAAGTAAAAGATATAATGAATATATATATATATATATATATATATATGAGGGTAGTTAAAATTACAAGAAAAGTAACAAATGAAAAGAAAGGCAAAACAACATGTACAAGTGAGATGCAACTTTGATGAACACAAGTAATAAAGAGATTTTTTATGAATACAAAAGAACAACTTTCTATTTTTATTTATACATATGTTTGCCACACCATCATCTATCAGAGACAGACCTCATTAAAACTCGATGGAAATTTTCTGAGAAGTAATGTTAGATGTCAAAAGCCCTTCTAGATCTTTATGCTATAGCCAGCATTAAAACTATTTGATTTTAGAAAGAAAAAAATAGCATAACACACTGGCCTATAGCCCCTGCAGATAGTTGGAGGGATCAGCAGGTGATCTGAGACTTCTGTATCTATTGAAACCATAGGTCATACACACATATGTATCTATGTATCATGTATGTGTGTACACATATAAATTTAATATATATGTACATACATCTACATTATATTCACATATATGTATATACAGGCAAAACCTTTCATATGAGTTCAGGAGTTTTACCGCTGCCAAAAGAATGGCAGGTTATAAACCTTGGCCAAAAAATTATATCATTATACAAACAGCTGGATGAGGCTAATAGCTAAAAGTTCTCATCATCCTGTCCTCTATCCCTCAGAACAAATGGAAGGTTTTCATAACATATGACTGTCTCAATGAATGAATGTGTTTTTCTTTAGTAGATTTAAGCCCAATCAGACTACACAGACCACTATAAAGTATTCTTTGCCACTAATATCACTGTAATTGTATTCTTTTTAGGGAACCCTGAAAATAGCCCAACATATGCAGGAAAGTCCACTGAACAAAACCTTTAAAATCTATACTTCAGAGGAAATGGTCTCCTTGATAGGCTGCTGACTCTTCGGGGCTGGAAGATATAACTCTCAATTCAAAAAATTTAACTGAGCATAATTCTGAAACAACGGAAGAGTAGGAAGCATCAGGAATCTCTCTCCCTACCTAGGCAACAATTATGCTGATATAATTGGATTATGTAACTACTGTCATATGACACACAAGATGTTATACTCATCAACAGTCCACATACATCATTTTGGTTTCATAAAATTATACTTCCTGGTGACATCACAGCTATCTTAGTTTATGTAAACAGACTCTAATTCTGCACAAGGACAAAATCACCTAATACTATTCTCAGACTATATCCCATCATCAAGTGATCTGATTACATTTTAGAGCTCTAGAGTCTACTTTAAGGCTTATAACTTCATAGGAAGGCTTAGATGCATAACTGCAGTTAGTTTTAACTCAGCACAGTACCACCTACACAGTACCCCAACTCTAGATCCTTTGCAGGCAGCTATGTATATATCTGAGACCAGCTTGCACAGTGATGGCAAGGAAAAGGACAAGCAAGTAAGAATTCTATCTTCCAAATATTCAGAGTCTGTGCTCTGATGATTGATTGCTTCCTAGTCTAATCACAGAGGTGCAGACAAAGAACAAACTGACATTGCTGGTGCCCTCCTCCAAATCCCTTTCACTAAGTGACTTCAAGGGGATACTGTAGGATCGCATTCCTTCTACCTCTTTATTTTTCTCTTTCTCCTCCTCTAGGAGCAAGATATTTTAAAGTTTTAAAACAAGTGTATGTATAGGAAAAATCAGGAAGTAACCATGCCCAAGAAAAGGTACATACACAATAAAGGCTTGAAAAAACATTAAATTTAGATTCAGCTGATTCTTAGGACATTGACATCCTACAAGAAAAAAAATGACCGGGAAACTCTGGAAAGAAAAAAAATTCTAATTTTCACAGCCGCAAAATCATCAGATTCAAATACTATTTTCAACAAGAAAACCAAGGCATAAAAAGAAGAAAATGTGACCTATTTAAAGAACAATATTATCAATAGAAACTGCTCCTTAAAAAAGATGTGATGACAGATGTTTTCAACAAAGACTATAAAATAATACTAAAGCTGCTCAAAGAACAATAAAAAAATGGACAAAGAGAACAATGTTTCAACAAAATGCCAACATCAACAGAGAAGTAGAAAACTTCAAAAAGAAATCTAGAGCTAAAAAGCATAATCACTGGAATACAAAATTCACTAGAGAGATTCAAAAACATGTGAGCAGGAAAAATCAGTGAACCTGAAAACAGAACAACGGACATTATCAAACCTGAAGAACAGAAAGAAAAAAGAAAGACTAAGAGTTTATAAGACTCACGGTATAAAACCAACATAACGCACTGTAGAATAAAGAGAAAAGAGCAAAGACAATATTTAAAGAAGTAAAAGCTTAATACCTCCCAAATTAACTTTTGTATTTTTCTGAATATAAACATCTGAGAAATTCAACAAATTCCAAGTACAAGGAAATAAAAGTAAATTATACCAATACATACTGTCATTCACTGCTGAAAAATAAAATCTTGAAAGCAGCAAGAGAGAAGCAACTCATCACATACTGACAGCAATTCTCAAATTATTCACAGATTTCTCATCAGAAATGTCAAAGGCCAGAGGGCCAGCGAGATACCTCAGGGGACTAAGCACCTGCTTAGAAAAGCACAAGGACCAGGGTTTGATCCCTGCCCTCAGCCCTGACCCCGAGCTCAAAGAGCAGGCCACTGAGACCAGGCATGGTGGCACATACCTATAATCCCAGTGATTGGGAAGCTGAAGAGAGGAGGATCACCATGAGTCAGAACTGGGTAGTGAGATCCTGTACCACATGTAAGTATCATATTGTCTCCCTAGTGTAAGAAACCTGACGGGTATAATAGACACAGTAAAAGGGAAATAAGCTGAATGTAAGGATTAAACAATAAAGATGAGAGAAAGGATAAAAGATAGGGAAAACATGCAAGTACATATACAGGATGGCTGAGAAGATTTTATTCATAATCTCCATCAATTCTTTTGAAAATAGCAGTTAATGTTTAGAATTTTCACCTTGACTAACTCTGTGTACTGATATCTGTGATCTGAGCAACTACATCGAGGACAGCAATGTGTAATACAAAACCCATGGTTGAATACCTCTCATCTTGGTCTTCTAGGGGGCTGGGGAGATAGAGTAAGTGCTTGCATTGTAAGTGCAAGGGCCTGAGTTAAATTCCAGATTCCACAAAAAAAAAGAAAAGAATAGACATCTTGATCTTCTAAGTGTGTACTTTTCTAATTATTAATTATTATGCTCTTTAAAATAAACTAAAACAAAAAAGACAAGGAAAAAGAAAAGAAAATTCAAGAGACCAGAAGATTATGGCCTACTTCAAAGAGAACTAAAGGAAACAAAAAATATCTGTCAACCAAGAATCTTGTATCTCACAAAACCATTCTTCAAAAGTGAGGGAGAAAGTAAGACATTTTCAAAAAAATAAAAACTAAGGCAGCTCATTAGCACTACATCTGCCCTGAAAAAATACTCAAGGCAGTCTGAAAGGTAGAAATGAAATAGTTATAATCTGTCACTATACTTTCTACCTTCTACATGGTTTAAGAAAGTAAAACATTTTTAAAATGTAGTAGAATAATTGTCTAAAACCTATTATAACTTTATTTTGTAAATCCATATTTTGTTTTCTATACAAATTAAGAGACAAATGTACTTAAACAATTACTAGTTTATGGTTCAAGGAACACAATATATGCAAATGCAATATTATGATGCTAGCAGCAAAAAGTAGTAGAGGCATAGCTATCAAAGGAGCAAAATTTTTCCATCTTATTAAATATAGGTTCATATAAACTCAAGTTAGAGTATTAGAACGTTAGAATGTTTAATCCCCACATTTAAGCCTCAAAAATAATAGGTACAGATTGAATGCAAAAGAACATAGAAGGAAAAATGTCTCACTACAAAATTAAAATTTTAACAAAATACAAAAGAAATAATTCTGGCTAGAAGAAACAAAAAGGCTAAAAGGCATATAAAAAACAAATAACATGACAGAGTATCTCCTTATTAGAACTAAATGTAAGTGGATTTAACTCTCTAATCATATACACTAGCAAAATTAAATTTTAAAACTTTATGGAATGACTAGACCCAAAAGTACAAGCAGAGAGAAAACAAAAGAAGAGAAAAAGATATTCAAAGGAAAATAATAACAAAAACAGAGTAAGAGTAGCTAGGCTAATATAAGACAAAATTGACTTTAAATCAAAAAAGATTACAAAAGACAAGGATATTACATATTAATAAAATGTTCAAATTGGAAGAAGACGTAACAGTTATAAACGTTCACACAGCTAATGAGAGACTATCAAAATATATGAAGCAAAAGTGACAGAAATGAAGAGAAAATTAGTTCTATATAAATGGAAGATTTCAATATCCTACTGTCCATAACTGATAGAACAATGAGACATAAGATAAGAAAACAGAGGACTTAAACAAACAATAAGCCACCAAAAATATGTACAACCAAAAGTTAGTAGCATACTGAATACACACAGTGACAAAACAGTATTTATTTCTAGAATGTAAGGATGATTCAACATATAAAAATCAATCACTGTATTACATCAAATCACAATAACAGAATGAAGGGGGAAAAAAAACACAAACATCTAAATTGATGCAGAAAAT